GGCTGAGTTACGATCGGCCCAAGTTGAATATTACATGCTTGATCCCTGCCCACACAGACCATCGTGAGTCATGGCGCATCGTCCCACCATGAAACACATAACTGTTTCTCTATCTGGGGTGTCCATTTCCCCAATTCATGGACACAATTACTGGACACAATGTGATTGATCTGGCACAAACACAATCATCACGCCCATCTCTCCCCGGCATGTCCATCTCACAGACTGCCACAACTCCGGTATCTCTCACAGACTGCCACAACTCCGGTATCACTCACAGTGGTCCATCCTACCAAACACTGTGTGGAGTCAAACACAGGCATTGTGGTACCCCTATCTACAGGAGTTGCTTCTCAACTGGTGTGTTTCTATACACAGGATTTAGGGAATGTTGAATGATTCTATTTGCTAAGAACAGTCGTGTTTTCCTCCCACTGAGTCATTTAGGTCTATATTCGACAGACACCCATCATTTAGGTTTATCTAAGACAGACACCCATCATTTAGGTTTATCTAAGACAGACACTCATCATTTAGGTTTATCTAAGACAGACACCCATCATTTAGGTTTATCTAAGACAGACACCCATCATTTAGGTTTATCTAAGACAGACACTCATCATTTACGTCTACCAAAGACAGACACCCATCATTTAGGTCTACCTAAGACAGACACCCATCATTTAGGTCTATCTAAGACAAATACTCATCATTTAGGTCTATCTAAGACACACATCCATCATTTAGGTCTATCTTAGATCGACACTAAATCTGTGTATCAGTACTGTGGCCGATACATCTGTGTATCAGTACTGTGGCCGATACATCTGTGCATCAATACTGTGGCTGATACATCTGTGTATCAATACTGTGGCCGATACATCTGTGTATCAGTACTGTGGCCGATACATCTGTGTATCAGTACTGTGGCCGATACATCTGTGCATCAGTACTGTGGCCGATACATCTGTGTATCAGTACTTTGGCCGATACATCTGTGTATCAGTACTGTGGCCGATACATCTGTGCATCACTACTGTGGCCGATACATCTGGGTATAAGTACAGTGGCCGATACATCTGTGTATCAGTACTGTGGCCGATACATCTGTGTATCAATACTGTGGCCGATACATCTGTGTATCAGTACTGTGGCTGATACATCTGTGTATCAGTACTGTGGCTGATACATCTGTGTATCAGTACTGTGGCCGATACATCTGGGTATCAGTACTGTGGCTGATACATCTGTGTATCAATACTGTGGCTGATACATCTGTGTATCAGTACTGTGGCTGATACATCTGTGTATCAGTACTGTGGCTGATACATCTGTGTATTAGAATATATGCGATCATTTCATTAGTTGTGGGAGACCTGTCTTGAATATACAATGCTGGAATGGATTGCATGTATGTGACAAGTATGGCCAAAGACGTACCTAGACATCGATGTTTGTCTCACCTTACATTAAAATACTAGCTCCTGAACATGCTGAATGGTTAAAGAGTGGGCAACTATTTTCCGTGTTGTCTGCTCAAATCCCCCGCTGAGAAATCAATCGGAACACACAATAGGAAACTTTCTTATCTCCCATAAGTATAACTGAGCTGAAATTAACCAATGTTTTTCAAAATACATTTGGTAAAGGGAAATAACCTGTGTGTTATGTGCATTTTACTCAGTGAAACACATATTCAGGACCTGTGTGAATGAATGTCGTTGAGATAAATTCGTTGCCAACTGATCCCTCAGGCATATGGTGAGATGTACTATGAGATGTACTGTGAGATGTACTATGAGATGTACTGTGAGATGTACTGTGAGATGTACTGTGAGATGTACTATGAGATGTACTGTGAGATGTACTGTGAGATGTACTGTGAGATGTACTGTGAGATGTACTGTGAGAGAGCCTGACTCAGCTATAGAGTACATCACACCATCTACCCCTCGCGATCTGTTGACAACATCTAACGTACGTCCGTGGTATGGCTAGTGGGGGGTGTCAAGTAACCTTGATTTTACATCAATTACATAATATTAACATTGTAAAATATTTTCTTTTTCAATTTTAGAGATGTGGGTTATCTTTGTTACTATTGTGGGTCACAGGTTCAAACAAGTACAGGTTCACTTGTGCTTCTTCGTCAGAAACGGAACAGAGGGTCGGAGCATGTAACTCTGGAGGACATCTCCTCCAACATGACCATATATGGAGCCTCTATATACAGTAATCCCTTGCTACAACGCTACCTTTGGGGTCCAAATAACTGATGAGCATTATTGACGATCAACCGTTTAACCGAGGTGGAGTCGTAGGGGGTAGATGACCAACATGACCGTGAATGACTTGCCTACCTAACACAATCTACGATGCACTTTCAAAGTTTAAAAGAAGATTCTTAGAGTAAAAAAATATTTATAACAAGTATATAACAAACTTGTCAATAAAAAATCTTAAATTTGACATAAAACATCACTAGACATTAGTGGTGGGAGGATACACTGACGCATCAGTGGATCGCAATATTTTACTTCCCGATACAAATATTGATCACAGTTGCACACTAAGTAAAAAATATTGATTCATACCTTAAATGTTTACTTTAATGGCTGTTACACTAAACACTGTTTCATAGTGAAAATTAGCAGTGAAAAAGTAAATATTTTCATCCACTGAGCCATACTTGACACTGCCAACTGTAAATCGTCAGTGACCATCATGTCTATGAAAAAGATGACTAACGCACCACAGATAAGAGCACATACACGTATCGTGAAACGTATCGGATCATGAGCAAGGTATCGTGATACATATCGGATCACACAGTTGGTGTATCGTCCCAGCCCTACTAGACATGATGATTTACCATTTCGACTGTATTTCCTGCTCTCCAAGACATTGTTTTACATGCAGAGATAGCAAGGGAACACTATGACACTCTGCCATATTTTGTTTCAGCCCTGGAAATTGACAGACAGTACTTAAGGGAAAATAAACCTTATCAGTGCACTGCTTTCGATGTTTTGAAAACAATATTTGCATTAACGATGTTACAATCTATCCAATCCTGCAAAGTTGTCTATACCCATGAGACTTGCACAAATGAGCCTGTCTTGAAACATACATCTGTCAATCAGTAAAGACAACTGTCACTCAAACGCACATGACCATGTTAATATCAGCACTCTTCTATGACCACACACTGGTGATTCCCTGTGAAAACAGCCAATTACAATAATGGCTGGTAGACAGTGGCGAGTGATCAGAACAAACATAGACCCTCCAGCAATTAGCTTCTTCATCTGTTCATTAACGAGGTGTTAGGCTTCCATTAGAGGCGGTGTTTATTGGCTGACAAAGTTGTGAGTGCTCCTGCGTCAATAACATGATAACGAGTGTTTCTGTTTGCGGCATTAAATGTTGTACTGACTACACAGCTTTGACAAGATGTTGCCAAACATGTATGTCAAACAAACAGCTTTCACATGCTCACAAACATTTACATACCACATGTGATATGACACAAGACAATGAGCAAGAAACGCATTTCGGAATTCTTTTCAACCCAGCAAAACTTCATGCAAAGATATCTACACTACATAATGGCATGTATACTCATGTTGTGTATTGATAATATTGTGTTATTCGTAGCACTTGACTTTAAATAAAGTGTCATGACTAGGGCTGGCAAAAAATCGACAATCGGAATTATCATCAACATGATCAATGGGAAGAAATATTAATGATTTAGATATGAAAATTATGCTATCGATAATATCTTACATAAACTATTGTGATGAAATAAAGTTTAGATATCCCAAAACAGACTTGTTATTGTCAATAATGTTAATTGCTAAAAATGGAAAGTAACTGTTTTAATTATATCTCAAATGTCCACAAAGTAATCCCTGAATAAATGTGCCACCACTCACCAGTGTAGTGAAATATGTGGATTTCCTTTGAATCTTTTTTTCATAGTTGCCCAAAGATACTTCTCTGATCATCTATCTCTATGATCAGTACCGATATCCAGCCCTTGTCATGCCACATTTTAAATAGGAACTTGTGATAGGGTTAGACCAGTCTACCGAGTGTCAGTCAGTCATTTGTATTAATCAATAACATGGCTACAGCAGTATTTTAGAAAAAACAAACACATACACGTATCTTACTATTTATCAGGCAAAGATAATTCATAAGATAATTCATAGGATAACCAGTTAGACAAGCATATAGTTGGACTGTCCCTGAAATAAACTTATGTAGAAGTGGAAACCAGAACAGTATTTTATAACGGAAGTATGTGGTTAACATGAAGTCTCTTAATTTCAGGCAGAGCTGGAAAGGGATGAGTACAGGCTGCTTGACAGCATTAGAAATTGACACTAGTCCCGTAGTCCTTGCCAAACTGCCCAATAGTTAAGGTACCATAAGGACTACTAGAAATGTACCATTTGTAATGGTTTTGCTACATGTTATCATTACATTACACTACTAGTAGACTAAAACAGTTAGTTTCTATTGGCTGCTGAGGCTGAGAAAGGGTGAGAGTGGGGTGGATGTTCTGTTTATGGGGTCTGTAAGAGCAGCTAATGCACAGTTAGCACATAACGTAATCTTGTAAAACTGTTCTGACGGACTTGTTCGTTCTACTTTAATTAAATTCTGGTTTCTTCACCATCTTGGACAATTAACTACACATGATGGAATTCTCACGACGGGTTTCAATCTAATATACCATAGATGTATACCATAGATATATACCATTGATGTCACATGTATGTTCTTCAGGCTCGGAAAACTCGAAAAAACGGCCTGTAGACTCAGTTTTTGACTGCTAACATTTGTCACACAAAAAAACGACAACATTTCACACGCATTTAACTCTCAAAATTATTGACGTACCGTGCAACATGCACTGGCATCACGTGCGACCAAACGAATTATGCTAAGTATAAGTCCGTATTCATATGGTTCTGTCGACCAAACCCCACCTGTCAATCTTGTCGCCAAGGCCAGCCACACACAGGCGATCCAAACTCCGTTCGCTGCTTTGCTGCAATGGTACTCCATATTTCCTGTGCCGAGATAAGTCAGATGACTCTATGGCTTGTCTATGTGCATTAAATTACGTAAAAGACCATTCCATTTCATTGTAGTCTTGCGGTCATCGGTAGTCATTTGCTTATCATTTGCAGAGTTGAAATCGACATGGCTGCTAACATCGCAGATAAATGCTTCCCACAAACTAGTTATAAGTGTGTTGCACATCAACGGTCGTCTGTTGAATACAGTCTCAACAGAGGCGACGAAACTTCAGATTCTTCAGTTCATCATCATGTTAGACACTTATATCCGAACCTTTTTGTATGTTTGAACCTTTTTTAAGCAAATATACACCATCCAATTTTATAAGTAGCATACATTATTTCAATTTCAACTGTTTGGTATGTTCTCCCAGTATTGAGAATTCATGACTAACTGTGTATCACCACGTTGAAGCATGTGTAGCAGTTGGTGTCTGAATGTCGTCATGTAACAAATCACTTTCCGACACCTGGTATATGGCATCATTAATATTAATGTATTTAAAGTAGGTCACATTCTGCTTTTTGCATGAGAATAAATACTGTTTTATGTAGTCAGGCGCTGATTCATCAGTGTTAAGGCGGCGTGTATGTACAGTGTGTAAGTACAGTGTGTATGTACAGTGTGTAAGTACAGTGTGTATGTAAGTACGGTGTGTAAGTAAGTACAGTGTGTAAGTAAGTACAGTGTGTAAGTAAGTACCGTGTTTAAGTACAGTGTGTATGTAAGTACGGTGTGTAAGTACAGTGTGTAAGTACAGTGTGTATGTAAGTACAGTGTGTAAGTACAGTGTGTAAGTATAGTGTGTAAGTACAGTGTGTAAGTAAGTACGGTGTGTAAGTACAGTGTGTAAGTACGTACAGTGTGTAAGTAAGTACAGTGTGTGTGTACAGTGTGTATGTAAGTACATTGTGTAAGTAAGTACAGTGTGTATGTAAGTACAGTATGTAAGTACATTGTGTAAGTACAGTGTGTAAGTACAGTGTGTAAGTACAGTGTGTATGTAAGTACAGTATGTAAGTACAGTGTGTAAGTACAGTGTGTATGTAAGTACAGTATGTAAGTAAGTACAGTGTGTATGTAAGTACAGTGTGTAAGTAAGTACAGTGTGTAAGTAAGTACAGTGTGTGTGTACAGTGTGTATGTAAGTACATTGTGTAAGTTAGTACAGTGTGTATGTAAGTACAGTATGTAAGTACAGTGTGTAAGTACAGTGTGTAAGTACAGTGTGTAAGTACAGTGTGTAAGTACAGTGTGTAAGTAAGTACAGTGTGTAAGTACAGTGTGTATGTACAGTGTGTAAGTACAGTGTGTATGTACAGTGTGTAAGTACAGTGTGTAAGTAAGTACAGTGTGTAGGTACAGTGTGTAAGTAAGTACAGTGTGTAAGTAAGTACAGTGTGTAAGTACAGTGTGTATGTAAGTACAGTGTGTAAGTAAGTACAGTGTGTAAGTAAGTACAGTGTGTATGTAAGTACAGTGTGTAAGTAAGTACAGTGTGTAAGTAAGTACAGTGTGTAAGTACAGTGTGTAAGTAAGTACAGTGTGTAAGTACAGTGTGTAAGTAAGTACAGTGTGTAGGTACAGTGTGTAAGTAAGTACAGTGTGTGTGTACAGTGTGTATGTAAGTACAGTGTGTAAGTAAGTACAGCGTGTAAGTAAGTACAGCGTGTAAGTAAGTACGGCGTGTAAGTAAGTACAGTGTGTAAGTACAGTGTGTAAGAAAGTACAGTGTGTAAGTAAGTACAGTGTGTAAGTAAGTACAGTGTGTAAGTAAGTACAGTGTGTAAGTAAGTACAGTGTGTATGTAAGTACAGTGTGTATGTAAGTACAGTGTGTAAGTAAGTACAGTGTGTAAGTACAGTGTGTATGTACAGTGTGTAAGTACAGTGTGTAAGCAAAGTATGTAGGTACAGTGTGTAAGTACAGTGTGTAAGTGCAGTGTGTATGTACAGTGTGTATGTACAGTGTGTAAGTACAGTGTGTAAGTAAGTACAGTATGTAAGTACAGTGTGTAAGTACAGTGTGTAAGTAAGTGAGGTGAAATTGGGTTTAACGTCGCGTCCAAGATTATTGCACTTATATAGCGACGTGCATGCATGTGTGTGTGTGTGTGTGTGTGTGGCTGCTTGTACTAGTCCGGACTGATGCCGATTTAAAGTGCTAGCCCACTGAGATACAATGCCGCAGTTTAGCATGAATACCCCACTCAGACACAGTATACTGACTCCGAGCCGACCAGTCCTTGTTTTAGCCCTTTAATGCCGAGCGCCAGACAGGGTAACAACAAGTACCATCTTTAAACGTCTTTTGGTATGACGCGGCCGGGCGGACGCTCTACCTCTAGACCACGGAGGCGGTACTGTAAGTAAGTACAGTGTGTAAGTAGGTACAGTATGTAAGTAAGTACAGTGAGTGTGTACAGTGTGTATGTAAGTACATTGTGTAAGTTAGTACAGTGTGTATGTAAGTACAGTATGTAAGTACAGTGTGTAAGTACAGTGTGTAAGTACAGTGTGTAAGTACAGTGTGTAAGTACAGTGTGTAAGTAAGTACAGTGTGTAAGTACAGTGTGTATGTACAGTGTGTAAGTACAGTGTGTATGTACAGTGTGTAAGTACAGTGTGTAAGTAAGTACAGTGTGTAGGTACAGTGTGTAAGTAAGTACAGTGTGTAAGTAAGTACAGTGTGTAAGTACAGTGTGTATGTAAGTACAGTGTGTAAGTAAGTACAGTGTGTAAGTAAGTACAGTGTGTATGTAAGTACAGTGTGTAAGTAAGTACAGTGTGTAAGTAAGTACAGTGTGTAAGTACAGTGTGTAAGTAAGTACAGTGTGTAAGTACAGTGTGTAAGTAAGTACAGTGTGTAGGTACAGTGTGTAAGTAAGTACAGTGTGTGTGTACAGTGTGTATGTAAGTACAGTGTGTAAGTAAGTACAGCGTGTAAGTAAGTACAGCGTGTAAGTAAGTACGGCGTGTAAGTAAGTACAGTGTGTAAGTACAGTGTGTAAGAAAGTACAGTGTGTATGTAAGTACAGTGTGTAAGTAAGTACAGTGTGTCAGTAAGTACAGTGTGTAAGTAAGTACAGTGTGTAAGTAAGTACAGTGTGTATGTAAGTACAGTGTGTATGTAAGTACAGTGTGTAAGTAAGTACAGTGTGTAAGTACAGTGTGTATGTACAGTGTGTAAGTACAGTGTGTAAGCAAAGTATGTAGGTACAGTGTGTAAGTACAGTGTGTAAGTGCAGTGTGTATGTACAGTGTGTATGTACAGTGTGTAAGTACAGTGTGTAAGTAAGTACAGTATGTAAGTACAGTGTGTAAGTACAGTGTGTAAGTAAGTGAGGTGAAATTGGGTTTAACGTCGCGTCCAAGATTATTGCACTTATATAGCGACGTGCATGCATGTGTGTGTGTGTGTGTGTGTGTGTGGCTGCTTGTACTAGTCCGGACTGATGCCGATTTAAAGTGCTAGCCCACTGAGATACAATGCCGCAGTTTAGCATGAATACCCCACTCAGACACAGTATACTGACTCCGAGCCGACCAGTCCTTGTTTTAGCCCTTTAATGCCGAGCGCCAGACAGGGTAACAACAAGTACCATCTTTAAACGTCTTTTGGTATGACGCGGCCGGGCGGACGCTCTACCTCTAGACCACGGAGGCGGTACTGTAAGTAAGTACAGTGTGTAAGTAGGTACAGTATGTATGTAAGTACAGTGTGTAAGTACAGTGTGTAAGTAAGTACAGTGTGTAAGTACAGTGTGTAAGTACAGTATGTATGTAAGTACAGTGTGTAAGTACAGTGTGTAAGTAAGTACAGTGTGTAAGTACAGTGTGTATGTACAGTGTGTAAGTACAGTATGTATGTAAGCACAGTGTGTAAGTAAGTACAGTGTGTAAGTACAGTGTGTAAGTACAGTGTGTATGTACAGTGTGTAAGTACAGTGTGTATGTAAGTACAGTGTGTAAGTAAGTACAGTGTGTATGTACAGTGTGTAAGTACAGTGTGTATGTACAGTGTGTAAGTAAGTACAGTGTGTAAGTACAGTGTGTAAGTAAGTACAGTGTGTAAGTACAGATTGTAAGTACAGTGTGTTAGTACAGTGTGTAAGTACAGTGTGTATGTACTTCATGATGTATTAGAAATATTTGTGTCAGGGTCTGTATGACAGACTAGGCTATACACGAAAACTGTGGCATCAAACACACCACGTCCCTGTTAATACGTACTGGTTGAAAGAAAATGTTTGTAGGGAAAACTTTGAATTCTATATACCGTATACAATTATTTCTAACAAATTAAAACTCATAGGGAATTTATTTTCTTTTGACATCTTTGTGAAGATCATTGACAGAACCCTACGGCATGAGGACCAATGCGTGTGGCTGTATACATGTGCATGTCGCGCTGTACGTGTTGTTGCTAGGCTGCGACGTCAATTTTCTCTGTTCTAAAATTACACGCAGTGTGTGCAAACCGACAATAAGAATGAACAAACCACAAATGTTTAAATGAAAAGAAACATGATTTTTTTTCTGTGTATATTTGCTGGCGAGGTGGACTATTCGGATATTATATATGGATTAAAATAGCATTTATTGGTGTTGGTTGCTGACTTAAACGTACCCAGGTGGTACCGCAATGATGAATGGGCAATATATCCTTCCACCTCGATTCGAGTCGATTGTTAGTAAAATCAGTAGTACGAGAAATAGCATGACATGCAAGTCTCGAGAGGGTACTTGTGATTTCACGAGATTCAATATGTCAGCCCCCAGGAGTGTGTAAACAAACGAGTTCAAAGTTCGACCAACAGGCATCTGTGCTAGTTGAAACTGTTTGTACACATTGACAGTCAGAATGAGCTTAAGCAAAAGCAAGGAAGACAATCCTGTTGAAAAGGCATTGAAGGCATATTTGAAACTATTGCAGGAAAAGCCTATTTTAACGAAGGCTTGCACAAGGCGAGTACTGTATGTGACCGGACTTTGGATCTGGGGAGCTTATCAGCAGATACTATGACATTTATCACATATTTTCCTCTGTTTTCTCTCACCAATGCGTGGTTTTTTTTAGTTGGGTGAACAAGAATTATACTCAACATGACATGTACAACTGATAGCTCAACATGACATGTTCAATTGATATGTGGAAGTAAATATTCCACTGAAAGCCTTAAAAAGTTCTATGTATCTGACACTGAAAGTTAACATTTGAGTTATTTGCAAATATGAAACGTGGAATTCATGGTACAAACACAATTATAGAGATATCTGAAATAATTTCAAATTAATGAAGACTTAAATAATGAATCACCAGGTCATCTCTCTAAATTGTTGCTATTATCATAATGTGCTGATGAAGCATGCACATCCCTCACCAGGGACCAGTCATTGCAGGATATAGCAACAGTTACTATACCATACAGAGTCAGTGTGGAAGAATGTTGTGTTGGATATAACTTGGAATCAATTCCCAAATAATTAATGATCAATCATCACATTGATCAGTGATCAAATAAAAACAAATTGATTTTTTAATCCGCAAACTACTATCTTCAAGCCGACAATTCCAAAATTACCCTTGTTGGGATTTGGGCTGGGACGTGTCCAAATTTACTACCCGGGTACCCACCACCCTATTACCCGACCCTACCCGGGTACCCGTTGTAGATATTTAGAAATAGGTTCAAAGTGTCCGATTTGGAAAAGTTTGACCGCAGCCCTGGCAAAATGTATTTAGATACACGTGTAAAACGATCTGGTCATGCAAACACTCAAGTTTACAGCGTGAAGTTTTAACTTTATTCAAACATATAAGTCAGAAGGAATGGGTGAGTTGTCAGAAAGAAATGGGAACATGAGTGATTTGTAGTGTAACCATAGAGTTTCAGATAATTTTTGTCATTAAACAATATATCATGTGACTAACCACGGGTCCGGGTAGTCCTGTGGGTACCAGAGTCCTACTCAGGACCCACCCGACCTGAGTTACCCGTTCTAGCCCTAGTTGGGATTCCAGGTTAGAAAACGTCCCTAGCAAGGTATGTTGATCGTAAGAGGCGAGTACATGGACCAGGTACGCCGTGAGGCTCTGTGACTTGGCTGGTTGCATGTCATTGTACCCCAACAATATTATCAATTGCCTGGTCCAGACTTGATTATTTAAAGGCTGCCATATCGTATAGCTGAAATCCATCACAACATTGATCAGTGATCATCTAAAATTGATTTACTTTTTTAATCTGCAAACTACTATCTTCAAGCTGAAGTTGTATCCTTGTGGAGTTTCTCCATATCATCATGGTCATGGTACACGTCACTCTATCTGGGTACATTGAACTCTATCTGGGTACATTGCACTATATCTGGGTACATTTAACTCTGTCTGGGTACATTTCACTATATCTGGGTACATTGCACTATATCTGGGTACATTTCACTAAATCTGGGTACATTTAACTCTGTCTGGGTACATTTAACTCTGGGTTGATCTCTCTATCTGGGTACATTGCTCTATATCTGGGTACATTTCACTATATCTGGGTACATTGCACTATATCTGGGTACATTGCTCTATATCTGGGTACATTTCACTATATCTGGGTACATTTAACTCTGTCTGGGTACATTTCACTCTGTCTGGGTACATATCACTCTATCTAGGTACATTGCACTATATCTGGGTACATTTCACTCTATCTTGGTACATTGCACTATATCTGGGTACATTACACTATATCTGGGTACATTGCTCTATATCTGGGTACATTTCACTATATCTGGGTACATTCCACTATATCTTGGTACATTTCACTCTGTCTGGGTACATTTCACTATATCTGGGTACATTGCTCTCTATCTGGGTACATTTCACTATATCTGGGTATATTTCACTATATCTGGGTACATTCCACTATACCTGGGTACATTTCACTCTGTCTGGGTACATATCACTCTATCTAGGTACATTGCACTATATCTGGGTACATTTCACTCTATCTGGGTACATTGCACTATATCTGGGTACATTTCACTATATCTGGGTACATTTAACTCTGTCTGGGTACATTGCACTCTGGGTTGATCTCTCTATCTTGGTACATTCCTCTTTATCTGGGTACATTGCTCTATATCTGAGTACATTTCACTCTATCTGGGTACATTGCACTATATCTGGGTACATTTCATTCTATCTGGGTACGGGGGCATGGGTGGCCCAGTCATCTAAGGCGCTGCGATTCGCTGTGCAGAGCTGCGTCCCTTGGGCACACCAGAAACCTATGATTGTGAGTTCGAATCCCGGTTCGCCCCGATTATGTTTCTAGGTTTGTCAGCACCATACCCGTGCTTGTGGGTTTCACCGAAGTGGTAAACGTCTGAGACCTGCATCACTTCGGGCTTTCCTCCCACATTAAGCTGACACGCGGTGATTTAACTGGAATACTGTTAAAAGCGGAGTTAAACCAAACTCACTCGCTATCTGGGTACATTGCACTTTATCTGGGTACATTTCACTATATCAGGGTACATTTCACTGAGTCTGTTCATGCAGTGGTAAAAGGCGACTAACGGGATCGGGTGGTCAGGCTTGCTGACTTGGTTGATGCCTGTCATCGATCCCAATTGCGTGGATCGATGCTTATGATATTAATCACTGGATTGTCTGGTCCAGACTCGATTATTTACAGTCCGCCGTCATATAGCTGGAATATTGCTGAGTGCGGCGTTTAACAACAAACCAACCAACCAACCAAAATTTTGATCTAATTATGCGGTGCCTACCATTAAGCAATATATTGTATAGGGCATTTAATTTAACTCCCAATTTTTCGGGAGGTTTTTGATAAACATTTTGAAGCTTAGATTGCCAGCACTCAAGTTCTATTGCATTTCACTTAAACAGTCCTCCATGTTTTTCCAACTGTTGAGTAATGGTGGCAGCTGTTTCCAGTGATTAGATACTTGTTGATTCCAATTGATTCACTTTCCGAATACGTTAAACATGCTGTGGCTGTTGCCTTTGTTCACGGAGAAATCACTTGGTGTTGTATAGAAAAGATTGACTTGTTTCCCCCAGCTGTCAGTGTGTAGGTGTGGACTTCAGTACATGAATACACCAAGAGTACACCACGAGTACACCACAGATACACCATGAATACATTACTGACAATCCTTTTCATTGTGATTATTTGTTGTAATAAGGTTGCTATATTCTGAAAAATTCATGTTTAAACTTGTGTGTACTACAACAGTGGTTTTGAGACTCGGGCTTGAACGGGTATCTCGGGTACTCAGGGTGGGTGGGTACTGAGTAGGACAATATATCACGTGATATATTGTTTAATGACAATTATTATCTAGAACTGTATGTTTAAACTACAAGTCACTAATTTTTGCAGTTCCTTCTGACTACTATGCCCATTCCTTCTGACTTTTATATGTTTGAATAAAAATAAAACTTCAGTCAACTTCAGTGTATGCACCAGATAATTTTATTCGTGTATCTAAACATATTTTGCCAGGGCTACGGTCAAACTTTTCTTTATCAGACAGTTTGTACCTACCTCTTGAGATGAATTGTTTGATAGGCATTACTTAGACGTTGACGGATGACAAAGTAGACACAATTTATGGATAATAACTTCTTTAATACTGTAAAGGCGACGTTTTGGTATAGATCCTTGCTTGACAACGGTATAAGGATCTGTACCGAAACATCTCCTTTACAGTAAATAAAGAAGTTATTATCCATAAATTGTGTCTACTTTGACCTCTTGAGACCTACAGCAGGTACCCGGGTGGGGGCAGGTACCCGGGTAGGGTCGGGTAATAGGGGACGGGTACCCGGGTAGGGTTGGGTAATAGGGAGGTGGGTACCCGGGTAGGGTTGGGTAATAGGGGGTGGGTACGGGGGTAGGGTCGGGTAACAGGGGGCAGGTACCGGGGTAGGGTTTGGTAACAGGGGGTGGGTACGGGGGTAGGGTTGGGTAACAGGGGGCGGGTACCCGGGTAGGGTAGTGTAATAGGGGGTGGGTACCCAGGTTGGATTGGGTAATAGCGAGGTGGGTACCCGGGTAGGGTCGGGTAATAGGGAGGTGGGTACCCTGGTAGGGTCGGGTAATAGGGAGGTGGGTACCCGGGTAGGGGTGGGTAACAGGGGCGGTTACCCGGGTAGGGACAGGTAATAGGGGTGTGGGTACCCGGGTAGTAAATTTGGACTTGTCACAGCCCTATATGAGACAGTGGCCATTTTTTTGTCTGGTGGTGATAGTACACTGGGTGTCGGATACTTCAAACCGTGGGCCCCTGCTTGTCTAGAGCGTGGGAAACTGACAACAGGTCTCGGTGTAGTTACTGAGGTCATGACCTTTAAGTGTTTTAAATGCTTGTGTGTCTGTCCCAGAGTATCCCCACCTGAACTGTATCCATGGAAACTCAGTGGAGGAAGTGTGGTATGGCTTCAAGACAAACAAGCTGGTTTTGCTGATGTTTGCAGTTTTTATTGATTCAAGCAAATATTCAAATTGGATTAATGTGGACATTACAATAATTTACAAAGTAAAATTTTCTCTCACAAAGGTTGTGATGATATTTTATTAATATGTAAATTATGTCGTCATGGAGACTGAATCATGTTAGCATTGTGAAGTTACAACAATCTGCCCTTTAACCAAAGTAGTATTTACCTTTGAAGAAACAGGTGTACCGTATTTTCTTGAGTATAGTGCGCACCCATGTATAATGCGCACCACCCTCTAGCGGGTTCAATATTTTGGAAAAAAAGAAATTTGAACATTATGCGCAGAAAAAATTTACACCGTACCCTTTCAGCGAAGTCCGGCAAACGAACGGGTGCTGAGAAACTTTGTCAGTACAAATTCGAAATTTGAGATAAAAAATCACCAGACATGTTTATTTACCGTTTAAATAGTATTTATTGTTCTGCTAGGCATTGTTTTATATCAAGGGATTAAGATTACCTTGTGTATTTTCTCGTAAACTAAGCCAGAAACAGCAATCAGCTGTACACACGTTTTCTTGGAATCGACCGGTGATTCGGTCAAGACACACCCAATGATATAACTTTTTTATCAGGAATAATATATTCCATTATTTTCTTAATTATATGCAGCCTTTACTAAACATATTTAAAATAAGTGTAATTACATGATTATTTTGCATACTTCAGTATGGATTTGTTGACATGGTATTTCCGGTGTTTCGTGCTGACGGTAATGTCTTTCCATGGGGGAAAAAAACATCCAAACTCATAATTCGTGTAAAATGCGCACCCCCTTCTTCACAGCTGTGTTTTTTCGAAAAAAAGTGTGCACTATACTCAAGAAAATACGGTAACTGCTGCCTGGAGCGAAGCTGTGTTCAGCTGGAGGTTTCCAGTGATGTAGATGGAAGGTTCCCAGCAGTAGGAGGGAGGGGTGGGGGGGGGAGTTCAATGGCAAAGTTATGAAAAGTTCCCAGAGCCCTTGGGCATTACCCCCGCTTGCTTAGATAATGTATCTCATGAGGATGTTTATTATTTGAAGCCTGTTATATCTTGTGTCTTTAACTTGTTATTTGGTGCTGCACTCAGCAATATTCCAGCTGTATTGTAGCATTTTGTAATTGAATCTGGACCAGACAAGCCAGTGATTGACATCATGAGTATCAATCTATGATACAATTTCTATCAACCAAGTCACTGAGCATTACTTAGAAGATGACAGGACAAAGTACACACAGTTTATGGATAACAACTTCTTTATTTACTGTAAAGGCGACGTCTCATTATGGATCCCTACACCGTTGTCAGGCAAGGCTTTGCAGTAGATAAAGTTGTTATCCATTAACTGTGTCTACTTTGTGTTCACTGATGTTGAGGCTTATACCAGTGGGGTGAGTGATCTGACGGAACCGCTGAGGCAGGTGAGGTGAGTGATCTGACGGAACCGCTGAGGCAGGTGAGGTGTGTAACCAGCTGGTGTTGTTTCAGTGCTGTAGTGTCGTCCCTCGGCAACATCGTATCCCAGCTGATTGTTCCCAACCCGCAGACCAAGGGCAGGATAGCATGGAGGAGCACCCTCGCATACGCTACTTTCGGGTGAGAATTGTTGACCTTTGACATCCTCCAGGCCTCATGCATGTACGCTACTTTATTGTGGAACTTGAGGCCTTGACCCTTGCCAAGTTCAGGCATTAGTAATACAAGTTTAGTCAGTAGTAATACAAGTTTAGTGAATAGTAATACAAGTAGAGTCAATAGTCTTGCAATTATAGTCAATATTAACACAAGTTTAGTCAGTAGTAATACAAGTTAAGTCAGTAGTAAAACGAGTAGTCAATAGTAATACAAATTTAGTCAATAGTAAAACAAGTATAGTCAATAGTAGTACAAATGTAGTCAGTATTAATACAAGTTTAGTCAGTAGTTAAACAAGTTTAGGCAATAGTAATACAAGTTTAGTAAGTAGTAATACAAGTTTAGTCAGTAGTAAAACAAGTATAGTCAATAGTAATACAAGTTTAGTCAGTATTTAAACAAGTATTGTCAATAGTAAAACAAGTATAGTCAAAAGTAATACAAGTATAGTCAATTGTCTTGCAATTTTAGTCAATAGTAATATAAGTTTAGTCAATAGTAATACAAGTTTAGTCGGTAGTAAAACACGTATAGTCAATAGTAATACAAATTTAGTCAGTATTAATACAAGTTTAGTCAGTAGTTAACAAGTTTAGGCAATCTGGGCAATAGTAATACAAGTTTAGGCATTAGTAATACAAGTTCAGGCATTAGTAATACAAGTTTAGGCAGTAGTAATACAAGTTTAGGCATTAGTAATACAAGTTTAGGCAATAGTAATACAAGTTTAGGCAATAGTAATACAAGTTCAGTCAATAGTAATACAAGTTTAGGCAGTAGTAATACAAGTTTAGGCAATAGTCATACAAGTTCAGTCAATAGTAATACAAGTTTAGGCAGTAGTAATACAAGTTTAGGCAATAGTCATACAAGTTTAGGCAATAGTAATACAAGTTTAGGCATTAGTAATACAAGTTTAGGCAATAGTAATGCAAGTTTAGGCATTAGTAATACAAGTTTAGGCAATAGTCATACAAGTTTAGGCAATAGTAATACAAGTTCAGTCAATAGTAATACAAGTTTAGGCAGTAGTAATACAAGTTTAGGCAATAGTAATACAAGTTCAGTCAATAGTAATACAAGTTTAGGCAGTAGTAATACAAGTTTAGGCAATAGTCATACAAGTTTAGGCAATAGTAATACAAGTTTAGGCATTAGTAATACAAGTTTAGGCAATAGTAATGCAAGTTTAGGCATTAGTAATACAAGTTTAGGCAATAGTCATACAAGTTTAGGCAATAGTAATACAAGTTTAGGCAATAGTAATGCAAGTTTAGGCATTAGTAATACAAGTTTAGGCATTAGTAATACAAGTTAAGGCATTAGTAATACAAGTTTAGGCAATAGTAATGCAAGTTTAGGCAATAGTAATGCAAGTATAGTCAATAGTCTTGCAATTTTAGTCAACAGTAATACAAGTATAGTCAATAGTCTTGCAATTTTAGTCAACAGTAATACAAGTATAGTCAATAGTTTTGCAATTTTAGTCAACAGTAATACAAGTATAGTCAATAGTCTTGCAATTTTAGTCAACAGTAATACAAGTATAGTCAATAGTCTTGCAATTTTAGTCAACAGTAATGCAAGTTTAGCCAATAGTAATACAAAAGCTTGTGGCCTTAGTCACATCGTAACCATGGAAGCAGCATGTTAGCATTGTGACGCCCCACCGAGTAGGTTTGTTGCAGGTTCTGTGTGAGCGGGCCAGTCTTCCACTACTTCTACGTCAACCTGGAGAAGTTCTTCCCTAAAGGCAGTCCCAACGCAGCTCTCAAGAAAGTCTTGTTTGATCGCTTGATCTTCACACCTCCCTTCATCTTCCTCTTCCTCTATGTGGTGTCGGTCCTGGAGGTGAGAGTCAGGGAGGGGGAGGAGGAGGAGGAAGTTGCTGTGCCTCCATCGTGGGGAGCCTGGGTTAGAATGGGTCCCCAGCAACCCGTGCTGGTCGTACGAGGTGACATAATGGATCGGGTTGGCACGAGTGTCCTTGTCCCCTGACGATGACATTCAATGTTTACCTGAGTTAGTCAATCCCCCTGAGTATTGTAATTTGGGACTACAGGCGGCAGGTGGGGGTGAGGGGATTGCTGGGTTTTTTTATCAAAAAATAAAATTGTCCAAGAAAAGTCTTTACAAAAAATAATTATGCCTCTGACTGTTGAAGAAAAAGAATTTGTCTGCCACCAAACTTGTATGGTTGAAGGATAAGCCATTTTCTACGCTGACTTCATCTACTGTATAAACTTTGTGTGCATTAATTGCCAGACAAAGGATAGACCTGACAGAGTGATACCCTAACACTAACCCTAACGCTGCCATCTGGGACAAGCCATTGACTCTGACTTGATCTACTCTTGTTCTTGTTGTCAAAACATAGTGACCCATTGATCTTTATACATGTATCCTAAATACCAGAAATTTACCGGTAGACTTTTTTTAAAATCTGGAATTTTGGAATGATCCCTTCATTAATTAGGTGTGATGGGCATGTACATGTAATGGTAATCAATAGCTCGTCTGCATTTTGGGGGTGAACCTTGCTGGCATTGACCAGTGGTCAGTGTACCCACAGACCCTGACTGAACATCTCATGCCCCTTACATGTACAGGGAGATAACTCTTCCAGGAAAACTTAGGTCCATTTTATTTGGAAAGTATGATTTTTTGTACATTTTGAAAATATGTCTGTATTTGTTCTTTAATTTTCGCTTGTTGGTGTGAATTTGCAAAAGCTTGTTTAAATGTAAATTGTTGATATAATTTTCAGCGAGATCAATTTGGTAGTTGAGTGTATGTTTTTGTGATCTGACCAGGGTCAAGGGCATGCTGCCTCCATGCATAGGATCCGAGAAACCTACTGGTACATCCTGAAGATGAACTGGAAAGTGTGGACCATCATCCAGTTCATCAACATCAAATACATTCCCGTCAAGGTCAGGGTCACACGTTACCTTTTCCTGTTTACAAACAGATCCAGCGATCTGATTGACCGGCCACAGATGTTGTTAAAACTTTCACCCTGTTCAACTCTGTCACGTACCTAGGTGGCCCAGTCGCCTTAGGCGCTGCAATTCGCTGATCGTGAAACCTATGATCGTGGGTTTGTGGGTTCGCCCCGATCATGTTTCTAGGGTTGTCAGCACCATACCTGTGCTCGTGGGTTTCACCAAAGTGGTAAATCCATCACGTCGGGCTTTCCTCCCACATTAAGCTGACACGTCATGATAAAACTGGAATACTGTTAAAAGCAGCGTTAAACCCCCACTCACTCACTCACTCACTCGCTGAGAGTCAAGTGATTGGCTACACAAGATCTAATTGTCACACAACAATATATCATTCGATGAATTTGCATGCATCTACTGTGTCACCAATAATTCTACAAGAAATGCATGTAATTCATGCGAGCAAAGACAAATGTAGGGCGTGGCGCACTCAGAGCTGTGACATTAATTCACTCGATAGAGGTAATTCGTTATTCCTGGTCTAGGCTGACATTAATTCACTTGGTAGAGGTAATCCATTATTCCTGGTCAGGGCTGTGACATTAATTCACTAGATAGAGGTAATCCGTTATTCCTGGTCAGGGCTGTGACATTATTTCACTTGGTAGAGGTAATCCGTTATTCCTGGTCAGGGCTGTGACATTAATTGACTCGGTAGAGGTAATCCGTTATTCCTGGTCAGGGCTGTGACATTAATTGACTCGGTAGAGGTAATCCGTTATTCCAGGTCAGGGCTGTGACATTAATTCACTCGATAGAGATAATCCGTTATTCCTGGTCATATATTCTTGATGGGGAGTTCTATTCTTGTTGGCCTGTGAAGATCTAAGGTAGAATAGGTCTTCAGCAACCCATGCTTGCCGTAAAAGGTGACTACGCTTGTCGTAAGGGGCGCTTAACGGGATCAAGTGATCAGGCTCGCTGACTTGGTTGATGCATGTAATCGTATCTCAATTGCGTTCATCCATGCTTATGATGTGAATCACTGGATTGTCTGATTCAGACACGATTATTTACAGACCATCGTCATATAGCTGGAATATTGCTGAGTGTTACGTTAAACAACAAGCAAACAAAAACAAAGAGTAATCTGTTATTCCTGGTGGGAATTCTATTCTTCTTCCTCTTCTTACAGTACCGTGTTCTGTTCGGTAATGCCGTGTCTCTCATCTGGTCCGTCTTCATCTCCTACAAGCGAAGGTCGATGGTCTCCAGCTGATAATGTGACCTCCCACAGATCATGTGACTTTCAAACAGATCATGTGACCTTCAACAGATCATGTGACCAACAGTGGACAAAGAGATGGCATTTTATTTATGGCAAAGAGATGGGCCTCACAAGATGTAGCAACCAGTTATTCAGACACAGATGCATGTAATAGTTATACATTGTGTTAATTACTCTAATATCAACATTGTGCCTATATCGATGGAGTATCTCAATATGATACAGTGATGCAGGATAATATGTTTGTGTACCTTGTGGAAATAATTTTTCAACAATACAAGCGAGTCGGGCTAGCCAGTTTTAGATTTAAGCAGCCATTTTACCCCTACCAAATACATGGAAAATCTGGGAGAAGAGACTTCAAATTTATTTCAAGTTTCAACCAAGTCAGAGTATAAATTGAAGGTGATATGTCCCCAAAAACAAATGAGGGTGTGAAAGTGTCGCCATGGGAACAAGAACCAGAAAGGGGAGCAATGAGATCAATCTTTGCAATATATAGTGTTGGTGGAATTGATAGGGAAGGGGGGAGGGGGATGGGTGGGGGGTGTTTGTGATGGGCTAGGGTGTGTTTGTGTTTAAGGATAGGGGGTTTTAGAAGGGGGGGGTTGACATATGATGACATTTTATTCAAATCAGATTTTAGTGTTGTTCCTCAGTATATATGCAGAAAATATTTGTATATCAATTTACTTGTAATTGGTTGGTTTACAAAATTAAAGACATGTAAATCTCTAGCTGCATGCCCACAGTGAGCATGCCCTTGTTTCCAGTTATACCTCCACGACTGAAGAACATTCAAGTCAATTCTTAAAACAGAATTATACCACTTTTATCTCCTGGAAAGACCTAACACTTATATCATCCTGGAAAGACCTAACATTTAATTCAATCGGACCCTAAAATATTTGTCAAATTTGATTTTTTTTCTTCAAATTTCAGTCTTTTAATTTGTCTCATTTCAGTTTTATAGGTTTTGTAAAGAATCTTTGTGAGTATGTCCCCCCGATGTGCAGGTAGAACCACATTGTCTCACACCTGAACATGGCGGACAGAGGCGCCCACTTTCGCTTACAGTTCATTGGGTCTACAGTTTATTGGGTCTACAGTGTTATGAAAACAAATTATGCACCAGGTTGTTCTCCAGTATTATGGAGGTTGGACAAGTCCATTATCAAATAAGGGGTGGGATTAACTGAATGTAGTCTTTACCACGATTACTGCAGTCGAACTGACTCTACACGAAATGAACTGTGGCCGATAGACAACGGCACGAGGCAGACATGTTTGAGAGTTACTGTCTGAGAACCACGTTGTTGTAATAACTGTTGACAGGTTCAGCCTTGAGATGTGTATATGTATGTAACATATAGGATTAATAATATTGCTCAATTGTTGAAGAGAGTACAGTATTGTGCTGTGAGTTTCTACAGAAACAGGAGTTGCTTCTCGTGTTTTGTTTTAATATTAACTGAAGACCGGATCTGCCGGCACAAATAAACAGAGATACTTCAAGGAATGTGCTCACATACTGTGCTTCTCATTCATTTCTTTCAGCTACATTACAATTTACAACAACTGAAGGAAACATGGAGAGATGATCTAGCACCAGAACAGACGGCTTTGTTGTTGATAGTAACTGTCCTAGACTTGTCAGTGTTACAATTACACCATTGTACCTTGTACCAGTCAGTGTTACAATTACACCATTGTACCTTGTACCAGTCAGTGTTACAATTACACCATTGTACCTTGTACCAGTCAGTGTTACAATTACACCATTGTACCTTGTACAAGTCAGTGTTACAATTACACCATTGTACCTTGTACAAGTCATTGTTACAATTACACCATTGTACCTTGTACAAGTCAGTGTTACAATTACACCATTGTACCTTGTACAAGTCAGTGTTACAATTACACCATTGTACCTTGTACCAGTCAGTGTTACAATTACACCATTGTACCTTGTACAAGTCAGTGTTACAATTACACCTTTGTACCTTGTACCAGTCAGTGTTACAATTACACCATTGTACCTTGTACAAGTCAGTGTTACAATAACACCATTGTACCTTGTACCAGTCAGTGTTACAATTACACCATTGTACCTTGTACAAGTCAGTGTTACAATTACACCATTGTACCTTGTACCAGTCAGTGTTACCATTACACCATTGTACCTTGTACCAGTCAGTGTTACAATTACACCATTGTACCTTGTACAAGTCAGTGTTACAATTACACCATTGTACCTTGTACAAGTCAGTGTTACAATTACACCATTGTACCTTGTACCAGTCAGTGTTACAATTACACCATTGTACCTTGTACAAGTCAGTGTTACAATTACACCATTGTACCATGTACAAGTCAGTGTTACAATTACACCATTGTACCTTGTACAAGTCAGTGTTACAATAACACCATTGTACCTTGTACAAGTCAGTGTTACAATTACACCATTGTACCTTGTACAAGTCAGTGTTACAATTACACCATTGTACCTTGTACCAGTCAGTGTTACAATTACACCATTGTACCTTGTACAAGTCAGTGTTACAATTACACCATTGTACCTTGTACCAGTCAGTGTTACAATTACACCATTGTACCTTGTACAAGTCAGTGTTACAATTACACCATTGTACCTTGTACCAGTCAGTGTTACAATTACACCATTGTACCTTGTACAAGTCAGTGTTACAATTACACCATTGTACCTTGTACAAGTCATTGTTACAATTACACCATTGTACCTTGTACAAGTCAGTGTTACAATTACACCATTGTACCTTGTACAAGTCAGTGTTACAATTACACCATTGTACCTTGTACAAGTCAGTGTTACAATTACACCATTGTACCTTGTACAAGTCAGTGTTACAATTACACCATTGTACCTTGAACCAGTCAGAGTTACAATTACACCATTGTACCTTGTACCAGTCAGTGTTACAATAACACCATTGTACCTTGTACAAGTCAGTGTTACAATTACACCATTGTACCTTGTACCAGTCAGTGTTACAATTACAACATTGTACCTTGTACAAGTCAGTGTTACAATTACACCATTGTACCTTGTACCAGTCAGTGTTACAATTACACCATTGTACCTTGTACAAGTCAGTGTTACAATTACACCATTGTACCTTGTACAAGTCAGTGTTACAATTACACCATTGTACCTTGTACAAGTCAGTGTTACAATTACACCATTGTACCTTGTACAAGTCATTGTTACAATTACAACATTGTACCTTGTACAAGTCAGTGTTACAATTACACCATTGTACCTTGTACAAGTCAGTGTTACAATTGCACCATTGTACCTTGTACAAGTAAGTGTTACAATTACACCATTGTACCTTGTACAAGTCAGTGTTACAATAACACCATTGTACCTTGTACACGTCAGTGTTACAATTACACCATCGTACCTTGTACCAGTCAGTGTTACAATTACACCATCGTACCTTGTACAAGTCAGTGTTACAATTACACCATTGTACCTTGTACAAGTCAGTGTTACAATTACACCATTGTACCTTGTACAAGTCAGTGTTACAATTACACCATTGTACCTTGTACAAGTCATTGTTACAATTACACCATTGTACCTTGTACCAGTCAGTGTTACAATTACACCATTGTACCTTGTACAAGTCAGTGTTACAATTACACCATTGTACCTTGTACAAGTCAGTGTTACAATTACACCATTGTACCTTGTACCAGTCAGTGTTACAATTACACCATTGTACCTTGTACAAGTCAGTGTTACAATTACACCATTGTACCTTGTACAAGTCAGTGTTACAATTACACCATTGTACCTTGTACCAGTCAGTGTTACAATTACACCATTGTACCTTGTACAAGTCAGTGTTACAATTACACCATTGTACCTTGTACCAGTCAGTGTTACAATTACACCATTGTACCTTGTACAAGTCAGTGTTACAATTACACCATTGTACCTTGTACAAGTCAGTGTTACAATTACACCATTGTACCTTGTACCAGTCAGTGTTACAATTACACCATTGTACCTTGTACAAGTCAGTGTTACATTTGCACCATTGTTCCTTGTACCAGTCAGTGTTACAATTACACCATTGTACCTTGTACAAATCAGTGTTACAATTACACCATTGTACCTTGTACAAGTCAGTGTTACAATTACACCATTGTTCCTTGTACCAGTCAGTGTTACAATTACACCATTGTACCTTGTACAAGTCGGTGTTACAATTACACCAGTGTACCTTGTACAAGTCAGTGTTACAATTACACCATTGTACCTTGTACCAGTCAGTGTTACAATTACACCATTGTACCTTGTACCAGTCAGTGTTACAATTACACCATTGTACCTTGTACCAGTCAGTGTTACAATGACACCATTGTTCCTTGTACCAGTCAGTGTTACAATTACACCATTGTACCTTGTACCAGTCAGTGTTACAATTACACCATTGTACCTTGTACCAGTCAGTGTTACAATTACACCATTGTACCTTGTACCAGCCAGTGTTACAATTACACCATTGTACCTTGTACAAGTCAGAGTTACAATTACACCATTGTACCTTGTACAAGTCAGTGTTACAATTACACCATTGTACCTTGTACCAGTCAGTGTTACAATTACACCATTGAACCTTGTACAAGTCAGTGTTACACTTTCACCATTGTACCTTGTACAAGTCAGAGTTACAATTACACCATTGTACCTTGTACAAGTCAGTGTTACAATTGCACCATTGTACCTTGTACAAGTCAGTGTTACAATTACACCATTGAACCTTGTACAAGTCAGTGTTACAATAACACCATTGTACCTTGTACCAGTCAGTGTTACAATTACACCATTGTACCTTGTACAAGTCAGAGTTACAATTACACCATTGTACCTTGTACCAGTCAGTGTTACAATTACACCATTGTACCTTGTACAAGTCAGTGTTACAATTACACCATTGAACCTTGTACAAGTCAGTGTTACACTTACACCATTGTACCTTGTACAAGTCAGAGTTACAATTACACCATTGTACCTTGAACAAGTCAGTGTTACAATTACACCATTGTACCTTGTACAAGTCAGTGTTACAATTACACCATTGTACCTTGTACAAGTCAGTGTTACAATTACACCATCGTACCTTGTACCAGTCAGTGTTACAATAACATCATTGTACCTTGTACAAGTCAGTGTTACAATTATACCATTGTACCTTGTACAAGTCAGTGTTACAATTACACCATTGTACCTTGTACAAGTCAGTGTTACAATTACACCATTGTACCTTGTACAAGTCAGTGTTACAATTACACCATTGTACCTTGTACAAGTCAGTGTTACAATTACACCATTGTACCTTGTACAAGTCAGTGTTACAATTACACCATTGTTCCTTGTACCAGTCAGTGTTACAATTACACCATTGTACCTTGTACCAGTCAGTGTTACAATTACACCATTGTACCTTGTACAAGTCAGTGTTACAATTACACCATTGTACCTTGAACCAGTCAATGTTACAATTACACCATTGTACCTTGTACCAGTCAGTGTTACAATAACACCATTGTACCTTGTACAAGTCAGTGTTACAATTACACCATTGTACCTTGTACCAGTCAGTGTTACAATTACACCATTGTACCTTGTACAAGTCAGTGTTACAATTACACCATTGTACCTTGTACCAGTCAGTGTTACAATTACACCATTGTACCTTGTACAAGTCAGTGTTACAATTACACCATTGTACCTTGTACAAGTCAGTGTTACAATTACACCATTGTACCTTGTACAAGTCAGTGTTACAATTACACCATTGTACCTTGTACAAGTCATTGTTACAATTACAACATTGTACCTTGTACAAGTCAGTGTTACAATTACACCATTGTACCTTGTACAAGTCAGTGTTACAATTACACCATTGTACCTTGTACAAGTCAGTGTTACAATTACACCATTGTACCTTGTACAAGTCAGTGTTACAATTACACCATTGTACCTTGAACCAGTCAGAGTTACAATTACACCATTGTACCTTGTACCAGTCAGTGTTACAATAACACCATTGTACCTTGTACAAGTCAGTGTTACAATTACACCATTGTACCTTGTACCAGTCAGTGTTACAATTACAACATTGTACCTTGTACAAGTCAGTGTTACAATTACACCATTGTACCTTGTACAAGTCAGTGTTACAATTACACCATTGTACCTTGAACCAGTCAGAGTTACAATTACACCATTGTACCTTGTACCAGTCAGTGTTACAATAACACCATTGTACCTTGTACAAGTCAGTGTTACAATTACACCATTGTACCTTGTACCAGTCAGTGTTACAATTACAACATTGTACCTTGTACAAGTCAGTGTTACAATTACACCATTGTACCTTGTACCAGTCAGTGTTACAATTACACCATTGTACCTTGTACAAGTCAGTGT